CCCTTGTCCTTTTTCGGAGGGTTTAGGGTAAAAACAAGGGTGATAAGTGCACTTTTATTTTGATGCTCTCTTTCTTCGATTATATGGCAAGACGTTGGGTCTTTGTTAGTTATTATTTTTTCCTAAGGGTCGGCTTAAGAATTCATCTTTGACGCTCGAGGGAAACGGATTATTATTATTATTAAAATGTCCTCGATTCCGGTCTTTGTGTTTGGTGAAAGAATTGTGATATCAAATGTTCGTGAGTTCTAAGTTTTGGGTTTTTATTGTTGTTGGATTAGGTGAAGTGTGTGGTGAATTTAGATTCGAAATCCTCCAAAATACGTACGTTTACATGGAGTTTGTAATTGGTTCTATTGTTTGACCATTGGCTTACTTCATCCTATCACATTACTGTCGAGAAGCGAATAACAACGTTTTTAAATGTTTGGGAAGTAGTACGATAGAAGTGTTTGACTCAAACTGATGTGGATTCAAGTGAAAAAAAAACTTGTTCTAGCTGCCCAGCCCCCAAGCGGTCACCGGTGACCACTCTCCACTTACTCCAATATAGACCTTACTTCCGATATTTAAAGACTATTTTTATATGACTGCCTCGTAACCCGAGTTTGTCGCAAGTGCGACTGCCGGGCACGGGGTTCGATTCCCGGGTTGGGCAAAGTATAACTGGGTTTAAAAAAAAATCTCAGTAGTAGCACGGAGTCTGGAATTGTGTCGGGTATATGGCAATAGGCTCACCCCCTATTACATGGGACTCATAACATAAAAAGTGGGTGTTACATTGTATAGTGGTATAATGTGCACCTCTGCCTACCCCTTCGGGGATAAAAAGCGTGATGTTATGTTAAATTGATGTTGTTTGTAAAAAAATTGTTGTGGATTTTTCATAATCGGGCATTATCCCTTTGAGTACCGTCATTATAGACACAATTAAAGAACAATAGGTCGCGGTCACCGGTGTCCTAGCGGTGTTTGACAGTTTAAGAAGCTAGCTTGTATTTTTCATTCGCTTAATATTAAACTTTTGTGCATTTTGAGAAGCAATCACGATATAGACATCATTTCAAAATGTTTCAAGGAATATGTTCATACGAACTCCATTTAACTTTGACAAAGCTTTTCTACTTATGGTAGACTTTGACAATTTTGTCACCCATTGTATAGGAGGTTATATTATATTAATGTGTCATCACGCTTGTTTTAACTTCGAAAGTGTAAGCAGACTTGAAGAGTTGACTTTTGTCATAGAGTTATCAGACAATCCTTACTATTAGAAATGGGAAAGTGAGTTTGTTTGTTCCGCTTTCACGCCGTAACTTCTAAACCGATTGCTTTGAATTTTTGCAGACGTAAAGTTAGGAGTCCGGATTAAATAATAGGGTACTTTTTATCCCGGAATATTTTGATATTCCCTAGGGATAACAAAAGAATTAGTATAGATGGCGCTGTGTGTATTGGCATATGTCACATAGGCTACTTTTATCCTTTTGTGACGCGAGCGAAACCGCGAGTAAAAGCTAGTGAGAAATAAAAAGATAGTTAGCTTGTTGTCTGTTATTGTACAACTAAGCTTCATATAACTTTCGATGATGAACCTTCGATACAAAGTACAATTGATTAATTAATTAATGATTTACTGACTGCCTCGTTGGGCGAGTGGTCGCAAATGCGACTGCCGGGCAAGGGGTCTCGGGTTCGATTCCCGGGTCGGGCAAAGCATTAGTGTGTTTTTAAAAAAAATCTCATTAGTAGCACGGAGTTAATGTGCCCGGTATATGACAATAGGCTCACCCCCTATTATTTGGGACTCATAACATAAATAGTGAAAAAAGTGGGTGTTACTTCTGTTTGCACCTCTACCTACCCCTTTAAGGATAGAAGGCGTGATGTTATGTCATGACTATTCTATTTAAAAGAACTCAATTTAACATTAGCTATGCTGAATATATAAACCTAGTCTACTATAGTTAAAGTAAAGTAGTTACTTCAATAAAATTAGCTAAGGACTTTTGAATGTCAACAAGCTAAATGTTATTGTTATTCTAGTTAAATAAAACTAGTTGTCCGTTCCAGACCATATATTGTTATAGCGAAAAACAAGAATGAAATTATACAAACCCACTTTTATACATTACACTGGTAAATGACCCATAGCTTGGTCGCGAAAACAAAACGTCATGGCATCACGGTCCCCTTTGTCCCCAAAATAGGACAAGCTAGTGAATAATATAAAGGAAACTCCGAAAACGTCCATTTTTGCTTACACAGTAAAACAATTTGAAAAGTGAAATAATTAATTTTGTCTCCAAAGGGTTAAGGGAGCTCTCAAAGCGATGGTAAAAGTGATTGATGAAATGAATAATACAAAAAATAGACTAAAGTTTACTAATATTGAAGTTTTGTGTACGTGGTCACTTTGTTTCCGATTTTATGTTGATTTTTTTTATAGCATAAGCCGGTAAACGAGCATACGGATCACCTGATGGTAAGTAATCGGCGCCGCACACTCGAAACACCAAGGCGTAACAAGTGCGTTACCGGCCTTTTAGGAATTGGGAATTTGAGGATTGTGGAGGATTCGGGGATTCGGGAGACGGTGACTAGGGAGTAATTGGGCCTCCGGTAACCTCACTCACACAACGAAACACAACGCACGCGTTGTTTCACGTCGGTTTTCTGTGTGGCCGTGGTATCACTGCGGTCGAGCCGGCCCATTCGTGCCGAAGCATGGCTCTCCCACACGTTTTGTTTACTTTTTACAATAGGGTAATTGGGCCTCCGGTAACCTCACCCACACAACGAAACACAACGCACGCGTTGTTTCACGTCCATTTTCTGTGAGGCCGTGGTATCACTCCGGTTGCGCTGGCCCATTCGTGCCGAAGCATGGCTCTCCCACACGTTTTATTTACTTTTGACAATATTGTTTGGTTGGCGTTGCTTGGCGAGTGTTCCAGCTTATTAAATGAGCGTTACGAATCTGATGAGGTCGAGATAAGTATTATGAGCCGGGATCGAGTGAATATTTTCGGATTTCCAGATTCTCAGCGATTTTTGTGTGTGCAATTTTGCATAAAGACATGTTTGGAGCAATATATTCTCTTGGTTTTTGAATTTAGAAATTTTCAGTAAGTACATACATTGTTTGTGATCGTGTACGATACGAATGACAATATGTTCACTTTTAAGTATGAGGCTAATAATATAACTAGTAAACTGGCGTTTCATATGTTTAAGGCTGCCTGTCCATTGAGATTTTATGCAATCCTATCGGTTAATATTTCTTCGTTTCTCCGCTCCGCTGTCCCTCTCCGCGTCAATGGACAGGCAGCCTTAAACTTGATTATTATCATGGGTAGTAAAACAAGCATAGGTACTTACCCAACAAATAACCCTTCTTTGCACCGCACAATTGCGTAACAACATACATACTTACATCTGGTTACCACCAAAGTAAAGCCGTAGTAAATTCCAACAATATGCGCAACTGGTCATTGAGTGACGAGATTTATCCGTATCTGTACGCTTCGATACATGAATCGCACAATTTAGGGTGTAGATGTAGATACCCTTATAAGTGTTTATGTTCTGTGTCAATTGGTAGCATAAGTCATAAGCCATTTGAAACCTACCACACATCTCTTAGGTTCTAATTACATTTGGCATGTGGTAAAAGGTACTTCATTACACCATTAAGATATAACTTGCAAAACGTTGGTGTGCTAACTCCAAAAAGTTTTTTTATGGTATAGAAGGCAAATGAGCAGATGGATCACCTGATGGTAAGCTATCAGCGACGCCCATAGACTCGCAACACCAGAGGAACCACAGGTGCATTGCCGGCCATTTTAAAAGGACTACGCTCTTTTCTTTAAGGTCGCAGGTCGTATCGGTTTGGAACTTATCTTACATATCGGTTTATTGCTACACTATTTAAGTGTTATAATATTATAGGTACCTTCACTAGGGGAGATAAATGATAACACCAATACCGTCGATAAACATTTATTAATATATTTTATCATTTTCCATATTCCAATATTAATACAAGTACCATATTCCACAATCAGGAACGTGCATAAGAAGCTACATACATACATACAGAAGATTCTACTTGGCTGCAATACCATATAATATACTCCTGTCCGAGAGTCGCATACAATACATTAAGATTCGTTTTATTATAATATATGAATTATGTATTGACACATTAATAATAGATATTTTAAAAATCTAAGATGCCAATCGCAAATACAAATGGCGTTGTTATATATAAAGGCTTATATTAGCGTCTTCCACCAAGTTTTCCATTATCGATACCTCCTTACGTGACTAAAACATTTAGGTTTAAAGTACATTTATATTTTTTTTTTCTATTTTGTAGTGATCGCTACTTCCTATTAACATAAGTTTACCATCAATTTAGCCGCTACTGTTTATTCCTCTACGATTAGATTACTTAACTCTACATACATACATATATTGTAATAGAATAGGTGAACTGCCTGCGAGGCGACGTGTCGCTTGGTCCGAACCAAAAATTGAAACAAACAGAACGCATGAGGACGCGTCGCCAGCGGCAGTTGCCGGGGTCTGATTGACCGAGCTTGACGTCGGGGCGTACTGATTGGGCAATAAGGCTGGGTGATTGCCCAACCACGTAAGCGGACACTCGGTAAATCAGATAAAGAAAAACTACATGAAACAAATCAAGAGAAGAAATCTAAATTCAATGAGAACAAATACCATTTGTAAATTTTGTATATCATAAAAGGTCCAAAAATATTTCCGAACCAAAATCTAGGTCCCTGTTTTCAATTCGAATCTCTCTAAGCTATAAGTGAGAGTAGCACTAGAGAGGGAACGTAGAGAAATGAAATATGATAAAAAAGCAACGGGTCCGTTTGAAAGTGCTGATGTTGTCGTCCGATGGAGCGGCGGTCAAGTCGGCTGGTGGGAGTTGGTCGCCGCTTCAGGGGAGTCGGATGTTGGGTGCAGGCCTACCCCCACTTCTGGAAGAGCCCCATGCGCTGGCAGCGGCAGTTGGAGCCCCAGAGGTTGCACCTGCACGAGGAGGAATGGCAGCAGTCGCCAGGCCGATGGTCGCAGTTGCCTCCTCGCTTCACACAGGCGCGCCTGAAAACGTAGATCAGCGACGATCGTCTGAAACCACATCATTGAACGCTAGCCTAAGATTATGTCCGTGACAATGCTGAGCGTAGCCGCTAGCATTCACTTCAGGGAACTTTCCTTGTTTCGGAATATTCAATTTTTGTTTCATAAAATATTAATTTATTCTTTTACAAATATATGAGTAAAAGTGAGTAAATAATCATGAGTAAATAAATAGAATTAACTGAAGCATATAAAATCTGACACAATTGATTGAAACATTCTCAACATGGATAAACTTCATAACTCAAGTCTGTAATCACGAAGTCTCGCTTCGTTAACGTTTCAAGATTCACCTTGTTTAAATGGATTGGAATATTCGATTTCAGTCTTTATGTTTAAGGTTATAGAACTCACTTTCCAACATCCTGCAGCAGCTGCAGATCAGCGGGATCTTCTCCGTAATCAGACAGGTTTACTTCAACGTCGTCGTCTCCTGTTGACATAATGTTGTGTCAGTTTTTTATTTTATGTAATTGATTCTGTAATGTAGAGGGGACTCCACAAGGGTGAAATATAATTTAATGAGATGGCTGAACCTCATTAACTGTGTGACTAGTAATAAATCACGTACAAGACTAATAAGTTATTTTATCAAGAAGTAATTTTAGTAAGTAGTATTTTGACTGCTACGTCAATGGCGAGGTCAAAATTCATAAGCGGTTTGAAGAGGATGTCTTGAGATTAATCCCTGAGTGGGATAAATCCAGAGAATTTTTATCTTGATAAATTCACATAATTTGCACAACAGACGTTTTGCAGTAGTACAACATACCAGGGTCAATGTATGATGCATGAGCCCACTCAGCGGCGAGTAGGACGGCCGCTAACGCCAGCAGGAGTGCGCCGGCGCGCGGCATTCTGCCTGCGCGACTACCGCTGCTTGCCTATAATGTGACAACAGAACTGTAAGCCAAAAGGCATTTAAGTGATAGTTGATTAAAAGAATAGAAAACTCAATGATTTCAAAATCTACGTCAAGCGTATACGTCGAGTTTACTATAGCTTAAACGCCATTTGGCTCATAACACAGATTATTTTTACATGGAATAGAACAATTTTCACACCGAAAGAAAAACTGTTTTTAGCTTCAGAGTTCCCGTGTTGTGTGTGGCGAAGTTTGATAGAAATAGTGGACACAAGACACAATATCTACAAAACGAGACAGATCTAGCAGCAAAACCATCATTCAATTCCAAAGAAAAGAAAATCAAACTAACTAATATAACAAAACGACCCGATAATTTCAATAATTCCTGATAAGCTAGAATCATCGACTGCTTAAAACTCTATATCCATCTATCATACCTACAATGAACAAAAACTAATGCCAGTGTAAAAGATCCTAAAATAATTTTATGAATAATATTGAGAATATTTTTTGCTTTCATAATGATCAATCATTAATTACTAAGCTTGTGTTAGCCATCACGTAATACATTAATCCAATTATGTTTTTGTTGTTGAAATATTTCAGTAAGATAATAGGAATGAGTAATGAAAAAAATATTAGACACGTATCTTTTATTTTAATATAAAATAATAGTGAGATACAACGAATCAAAGTTTAAAAGTGGGTGGTAAAACGTCATTTCTACGAATAAAATGTACATAGAAGTGACGTCACGCGACCTTTCAAACCAATATATCGTCGAAAGTATTCGTATCGATAAGAAAATAAAAAAACGTGTCTAATGTTTTAACATAATGTACCAGACGAACATTAAAACACTATTAGGCATTTGACCTATTAAAGACAGAATGCTCATTTTATATTTCAACACATTTTTATTACAAAATGATAAAGACTGACGGACTGACTGACAGACTATTATTTATTTTGTATTTGTTGACGTTTCAAAAGTACCAAACTATGGTTTAATTGAAATAAATGCTTTGACTTTGACTTTGACTTTAAGTAGAAAGAAAGGTTACAAATACTATTATTTCTTTTAACCACTCAAAACTAAAATATAAAGAGATCGCAATAAAACATCTGGTGTCGTAGATCGTCTACGAAATCTCGTAGCAACTTGCTACAGCGCTACGCTTTTAGACTGCTACGACTACGAGACGATTAGAACCGTTTCGCACCATTGCTAGCAAGATTACCGGTCCCTAGTCCATGACCCCGTAACCATGGTAACGCAAGACAAGCGGTCCGACTTTATTGTCTAGAAAATCCCGATAAAATGGAGTGGAATAGACTTATAAGTTGACAAGTCGCATTTTGGTGACGTCAAGTGGAAGAATGGCCTTTATCTTTGACCAACGTGAACGTGTTGCGTTTTTTATATTAGATACAGTTTCTATAGGTTCCTTATGCCAGATTACTTATCGAAATAAATTATTCAGAATTAGTCGAACTCGAGAGTAACCGTGTTAACATACAAATTTAAATTGAGTGAGGGGGACTTCCTGAAATTAATCTTGTGTAAGGAAATGTCAAAGTCTCACGTTTCCAAGTTATTTTGTTATTAACGCTGTAATAGAGAACGACCCACGTCAAATGATTGGGTCAAGATGTCGTGGTACTCACGAGAATTGTAAATCAAAACCCCTTCAATCATAAAGGGTCAAAACAAGAAACCGAAATTGTGAACCTACACTTAGTAATGACGGTTGGGAATATCAAATATCAAAATTACCTATACATTAAATTAACTCGTCGAGTACCGGTTTTATAGACACAATTAAAGAACAATAGGTCGCGGTCACCGGTGACCGCTTGGTGTTTGACAGATTAATTGTACTGCACAGTTTACTTATGTTATTGTCTCACGAGGTTACTTGATTAATTTCAGTCACACTGGGGTCCATAAGCATGAGTAGCTTGCATAAAACTGACACGTGACCAGCGTTAATCTATCCATCTATCCATATAAATAAAAATGAATTTCTGCTCGTTAGTCTCGCTAAAACTCGAAAACAGCTGAATCGATTTGGTTAATTTTAGTTTTGAAATGTTCGTGAAAGTCCAGGGAAGGTTTAAAACGTAAGCAAATATTATAAGGCGGTGCGAAGTTTGCCAGGTCAGCTAGCAACGTCAATTGTTTACTATAAATATGTATAATAGGCTAGTTTCCTTAATTTTATTTTAATGTCCGTTTGGTTGATTATTTTAAAACATTAGACACGTATTTTTTCTTTTCTCACAAAATTAAATGCTTTCGACGATATATTGATACTCTTAAGTTTCCAACTTATTGCATCGACCACGCTCTCACTGAATCACCTAAAGGTTGGCTAGTAAGAATGCCCGTGGCATTAAGTACTCTTGTTGTCCGCCTATGTATTCTTGTTGCATAAAGTTAAATAAATAAAAAAAATAATAAAATTGATTCGAAATGTCGTGTGACGTCACAGCGTGCAACAAAATGTAGCACAATGACGTAACAATCCTCCCACTCCTAAACTTAACTCCATTTTATCTGAGTATTGTAACTTTAAACGAGAAATTAAAAAAAATACGTGTCTAATATTTTTTCATTATCTAACTGACGGACTAATTACATTTTTAATTTTCTTACCCTGAAAACTACCCAATTATATTATTGTTAAAAAAAGTAAAAGATGCACTATAGAAACATAAACAATTATTAATCACCATAGCTACAGCTTCTTCAACCTACCGTTGCAGTTGTAATTTGTAATTAATCAAAACCAAGTACATTTGTTTGATTAAAAAACGGAAACAATACACAAGGAAAAACAGAACAGCCTTTGAACAGTAGCTGTTCAATAAAATATTTAATTTGATTTTGTCATTTTGACAGGCCAACATCCCCATTGCGATGTGTTCAAGTATTCATAAGTAACGCTCCATGTCATGTCGTGTGATGTCACAGATGTATTACTGACTAGATGGTGCAAATGAAACATTTTATAGCTAATTTATTGACTTCAAAATAATTACAAAAAAATTAAATCAAATTCGATCGAATTTAGGGACATGTAAGTTATATGAAGTTTCTGGCTAAAAAAACATTAATTTGAGTCAGAGGTTATGTTTTAAAACTTATTAGGTGGGGTAGGTAGAGGTGTACTGCACATGTTGTAAGTCCTATGCAATGAGAGATTCAATACTCCAAGCAATTTTACTTTAAGTTTACGTAGAAATTGAATATACATATCATCACATAATAGAACCTTGTTATAAAATATTAAATAAAAATGAATAAACAAATCATCACCATGTGCCGTATCTAGCACACTACATCTCTGTACAAAACACAGAAATAATACCGAAAATGTAAGCAAGGCGGGGGTCGAGATCAATGCGAATGAATGTTTGGATCGGAGACGTAATATGCACCGATATGTTGACAATATACGCAGTTATCTCATTTTCTAACAAAAAAATATTATATTAAAGCTTATACATAATTTGATTTGAATAATTTGTTTGTGTAATTTTATTTAAAGAGGTTATGAGATTTACAGGGGTTTAAATTTTTTGTACTTGTCGTGAATGTGATGATTTTTGTAATCTGATTTTACCCTGAGTTAGGAGTATGATGAAATGATTTATTGTTCTCTGATCAATTTGTAGCATTTTTCTCAAGTGACAGTTTTGAGCAGCAATTTAAAATATAAAAATTTATAAATATACGTATTTCAAATAAATAATCTGATTCCATTAACCCAAGCAAAAGATATACTACAAAATCCTTTCAAATTATACAATGTCCCCTCATTTATGTGTATTTAATAACTCGTATTGTGACGTCACAAGAGACAATCCAACTTGTATCACTAACCCACTGTCAAAGGGAATAGTTGGACCAACTTTGATTACTTCCACGCCCTTTGATTGGCAATGTTGACGCATATCATTGCCTATTTCGAGCAAAACTATTTGTGGTTGAGCGAACAATTTTATTGGCCTTTCTAGACTTTTTGATTTAAGTCTTTGTTTTGGAGACATTTTTGGTATAGAGGTGATTTTATTGGTCAGTGACTAATATGGTCTAATTTATATGTTTTAAAATAACATAACATCACGCCTTTTATCCCTAAAGGGGTAGGCAGAGGTGCACATTACGGCACTCAATGCTACTGTACATCCACATTTTACGATTTATGTTATGATCCCAATGTAATAGGGGGTGAGTCTATTGCCATATACCGGGCACGTTTCCAGACTTCGTGCTACTACTGAGATTGTTTAAAAACCCAGTAATACTTTGCCCGACCCGGGAATCGAACCCGAAACCCCTTGCCCAGCAGTCGCACTTGCGACCACTCGGCCAACGAGGCAGCCTAACTTCAGTATATTGTATGGAACAAGATCACAAGACTATGTTGTATAACATTCATAGTGAGTTTAATTACCTTACATAATCCAAGCGAAAAAGTATCTTATTCCCATAAACATTTATGACCTAATTTCGCTTCGTTTTTTATAATACAAAACGTACATTAACTCGTGTATAAATGTAAGTTAAGTCCATTCATCTTCGTACGTGAACTATGTTGGAAACTTTAATGCAGTTTCGTAGAATTTTGAAATGTACCACGTGTTGTTAATGGAACTCGGTCTAGAACGTTCTCTGGTATATTGTCATTTGTTTTAATGGTTCTCGTAATATGTTATTCTTTTTTATTTTATATAGACTGAGCAGCTTGTTTATAGTATGTCTCGGTTTGTCATTGGTCTCTCATTTTCTATGATTTTAAATTTTACACATATTTGCAGCGGCTCCCTGCGACGTTAATGAGGTCGTCTGTCCACCTTGCGGATGGACGTCCTACGCTGGGCTTACTGGTACGTGGCCTCCAATCGAGAACCTTTCTACCCCAGCGTGCAGAGGCTGTCGTAGTTATAATTATTTTCACTAAAATCAAGGACAAAAAACCC